TTTATCATTATTATTATTATTTTTATTTCAAAAGACTTTAATTGATGGGCTGGAGTCATGTGGATTACCTGTGGATTATTGTGATGTTTTTATCAGCTGTTTTGAACTCTCATTCTGACGGCACCCATTCACTGCAGAGGATCCATTGATGAGCAAGTGATGTAATGCTAAATTTCTCCAAATATTTTTCGATATAGAAACAAACTCATCTACATCTTGGATGGCCTGAGGGTAAGTACATTTTTAGCAAATTATTTTTTTGGTGAACTATTTCTTTACCATTCTATCTTAAGAGACTGACTGAAATGACAACTTTTAAAACATTAAATGAATTTGAAAATATGAGTTCTCTATCCAAAATATTGCTTTCTTCAGTGAACTTGTCCAAAACAGGAGAGAAATATACACAGACCAAGCAATGTTTATAGGTAAAAACAGTGTAAAACAGTTCTATGTTGGTGGATTTTGATGTGACAGGACAACAGGCGATATACTTTTTTACTGGTGTAAGAGGTATTATGGATTATGGACTCATATTTTGGCCAGAAGTGATGGTTTAAAGTTAAAAGGCATTTTATGATGGATTTGTTTCTTACAAACATGCTTTATCATTATTATTATTTTTTTTTATTTCAAAAGACTTTAATTGATGGGCTGGAGTCATGTGGATTACCTGTGGATTATTGTGATGTTTTTATCAGCTGTTTTGAACTCTCATTCTGACGGCACCCATTCACTGCAGAGGATCCATTGATGAGCAAGTGATGTAATGCTAAATTTCTCCAAATATTTTTCGATATAGAAACAAACTCATCTACATCTTGGATGGCCTGAGGGTAAGTACATTTTTAGCAAATTATTTTTTTGGTGAACTATTTCTTTACCATTCTATCTTAAGAGACTGACTGAAATGACAACTTTTAAAACATTAAATGAATTTGATATTTATTTAATACTGGAAGCATATTTATCTTTATATTATAGCGCCTTAAATTATTCTCAATAAATGGGTCTTTTTTATACATGGAAAATATAGGTGCCTTAATATTTTAGTTTTGTTAAGCTTTCTCAAACTAAATAACTGAATTCCACATATCTTCCAGTATCTTAAAATACTGCACATCTAACTTTATGTTTTACTTTACTTTGTTTACTTTTGATCAGTATTGGCAACACTGGTGAGCTGAATATTCTGTGGGAAATATAAACAACAAGGCACATATTTCAAAATGCCATTTTTTTCCACAACATGAGATTTCTTTATTATTGTGTGGCTAAATGCAACAAAAATCTAATAACAATATCTTGGGTGGTATTGCTTCTGTCCTCTAATGCTCAGCATATCAGATAAAAAAGCATTTTAATAAGTGCAGATTGCAGTTGTGAGTGTCCTGTTTCTGAGGTGTCCTGAAGAGGGCATTGCAGCAGTGTCACAAGCTCAGCAGCACAGCTTGACTTGGTCCTGCATGAGGAGTTCTCAAACCCAGCTGCAGCTGCTGCGGTCCAGAAACGCAGTACAAATCCACTTCAGTTACTCAATTGGTCTGATTTTCTCTCATCAGAGAAGTTTTGAATGCCTTTATTATATTTCCCTATAGACTTTCTCTGATTCGGGTCTTGTATATTGCAAAAACGACAACTTCTAGTGAAAGTCACCTTAGCTGAGCTAAAGGTTAATCATCAAAATGGAAGGTGAATGAAACCAAAGAAACAGAGCGGAACAGTGAAAGAGAGAAAGAATAGCTTTGCGCTCTCTGTAATAGTTTCCTATTCATGCTGAAATTCATCTTTAATATAATCACGCTATATGAATTCCAAAATATGCATAGTACAGAACATGAAGAAATGCAAAATGTGTTGCGTTCGCAGAGGCAGAGCTAATTTATCATTAATGGCCCTTGCTTGGTAGTATAAATCTGCTTCCATGGGAACATATTTAGCAAATATAAATTCATAGAAGAACATCAACATAATATCCTTCCTATCATCCCTGTCATTTGGATGAGTGAGTGAGTGAATATGAAATGCAGAGGTCAGTAATTCCAGGCAAATATGACAAGAAGGGAAACATTCACACACCACTAAATGGCCTTTTATTTACATTAATGAACCCGATGGTGGCAATTTCTACAAACAAATTATGTTGAAGGACAGCCATCTGTTATTAAGAGGCACATTCTAAGGCTATTACAATGCAGCACTTGTATTAACGTAAAGCTATATTTTGGGACTCTCACAACTGTTTACAGCATAGGATGTTACTTTAATCACATACTATTTCATAATTCAAAACATAAAGTATTTGATATAGCTCTTTTTCAGACTCCTTTAAGTTCTATTGTAAAAAGTGCCAAACTAACCAAACTTCCATCAGGCACGTATTCATAGAGATTGAGCTTTAGTGTACACATCTCTTCCAGTCCTTTAATATATTTGAATTTCTTTGTGCACTGAGCGTGTCCAGCCTTCATTTTAGACTGAGTGAAGAGACCTGCCCACCCTGCCATTTCTATTTCACCCTTTAAAACGAACTTAAAGTCCCCATGAAATCAAAATGAAAGTTTTTTGGGGGTTAGTATCAATATGTTAGTCTTAAGGTTATCTATAAGGCAGTGTGCTCCAAAACAGTGACAAAATTCGCATTTAGAAGATATAAGCATTCAAATCTTGCAGTTCATCACTTCTGACAAAACGGCTCAACGATTTTTTTTGACATCACATCGTACTTCTCAGCTTCTCATCAAACTTTCTGTCCAATCAAATGCTCTGTAGAATCTGAAGCACCCACCCCATACACTATAAAATAGACGCTGAAGCTGCGGCTGAAATCGGTCACTTGTCCACAGAATTAGTATTTTCTGTACAGTGAATGGCACGTAGTGCACTATATAGGGGAGAGGGAACGATTCAAAGTGTAAATATGCTTTCCATTGAGGAAAAAAAAAGTCTGGTTTATGATATGTCCCGCCCTGTCTTCCTGTTTCAGTTAAAATGACGTCAACACATAGAGTAACGCTGCCTGTTTCTAAGCATTTCATGGGACCTTTAAACTTCTGAATATTTTCAACGAATGGACTGGAGAATGATCTGATTCCACAGAAGTGGGGTAGTTTTACTTTACCCTGAACAGATTTCCTATTGTGTGAGCCATTGCTAAACAACAAAAGAAAATGTTGATTGATTTAGGTGTCTGGTTATGGCTTTAGCAGCTTAGACAATGACTTAAATTAAATGGGGGAAGGGGATGCATTTAATTAATGGGAATATGTGCTTGTAAAACCCCTGTTATGGGCTCTACAGGTCAACCGGTATAGACCAATGACCGGTCATTCATTGCAGTAAGTGTCTGTCTATGTGCAAGAGAGATATTCAAAGGTCAGCCTCATCTGCCTTTTCACTACATCTCCAGCTTCTGTGATAAAAATAAAGGCAGATGGTCACAACCACATTTAACCTCTGATTGAATCACACCAGAGTGTCCTCTACTACTTGAAGTCTCAGACTGTAGAGATTTCTTGCTGTAACACTAAAACATTCATGAAATCATACAAGCGACATGATGTTTTGGAATAACTAAAAAAAATTAACTCTCAGTTCTGCATAGCCCTTATCCATATAGAGAGAGACAGATGCTTGTTTACAAGCCATACTCTCAACAAGAGAGTTAAAAGGGAAAAGATGGAGAAAGGGAGGGCGTGAGGATGAGATGATAAGATACAACCTGGCCAGATGTTCTGAGTGACTTCAAAGTCTTCAAGAAGCTCTGAAGTAAGTTACCTGGGAATATACTGAAACAAGGCCAACATCTCTGCAGCATCTGATTCTCAAAGAGTAATAGGAGCCACGTGATTAGATCAAAGCAAAAACATGTTTTTGTAGTGTTTTTTTTTATCTATATATGTGATTTGAAAGTATAACAAAATGACAATTTACAGATCATGTTAAAAAACAGATACATTTTTACCAAATATTTTAAGTACATGCTTGTAAAAACTGTATATAATTTAAAAAAAGGCACTTTCCAGAAAATGTGTCTTGAAACTGTTAAAAAAGAAGACAGTATAAAAACCTTAATAAATGAAATAGTGAGCAAAATTAACTGTTTACCCTTCATTATGTTTGATTGTCAGCAGGTGAAACTATTTAGATATAGCCATTTTATTTTTCATTAATTTTCTATAGAGTTTGCAACCCTGTTGCTAAAATTTGGGGAATGCAGTTTTAAAATCCTTGTTTGTGTGTTTTTGCGGTTTTCTAGCAGTAAACATTAAACAGGCATTAAAACAGACAAAATCAATCAAACTGATTGAATGGCTAACACAGTCAACTTAATTTGTGTAAACACTGAGAAAATGTAATGAGGTTATTTAGGCCTACTCCCCCAATGCTGTGGAAAGGGGCCAAATTATGTTTTTATTTATTTATTTATTTATTGTAACATCGAGTTCATCAACAGAGTTGCATGCAAAATATGGAACGTGGATAAATGGTATGTAAAATGAGTTACGCACTTTTACTTTGTTTATAATGATTCAAAAGGTTATGTCACAATTATTGATTGTCGTATTATTTGAATTGTTAAATACAGTCAAGAAGGTCAAGACCTCTGCGCTTTGACCTCTGAACTATATAGGTGGGGGATGGAACATTTACCCGACATGTGTTTACAACTAGCTACTGCTAGATTAATATGTCTCATAAACATGGAATTCGTCGTGCCTCTAATTCTTCACACCCTGCACTTTAGGCTATTCGTAGAATATATAGGCTACTACATTGTAAGTATATAGATAATTATAAATGAAATTCTCTAACTTTTTAAATCAAGGAGGTTTATAATGTCTCATATGATGCAGTATTAGGACACTGATTATTCAGTCCGCGCTCTTCAGCATCTATGATGAAAAATGTGTGTTATGCGCGCACGCACGCAGGCAGGCGCAGGCTGAGCATCACACGCACGCACACACACACACACACACACACACACACACACACACACACTGCTGTGAGATTATCAGAGCGCTCGGCAGCAGACAGAGAGAGAAAGAGGGAGACGCGGAGGAGAGCAGCAGCCCCACCGATCCTCAAGCGAGAGAGAGAGGCAGCGTCTGGAGCAAGAGCTGGGCGGGGAAATAACTGCGGTACTGAAGAAATACTTCATTGGCGAACTGCAGCAGTTTGTCGGCATCGCAACTTCGTCCGTGTAAAGCAAAATGTCATCGTCGGGAAAAGACAACAGCTCCCAACATGCGAATTACGTGGGACCGTATCGCCTGGAAAAGACGCTTGGCAAAGGACAGACAGGTTTGTCCTTTTGTGTGCTTGATATCAGGGATGGTGACGCGCTATCACCGCTGCTCAGTTATACACTTGCGCGATGACTAAATATGATGCGTGTGTGTGTGTGTGTGTGTGTGTGTGTGCGTGTGCTTGTTTGCGTGCGCCCGCTGCTCAGTTATACACTTGCGCGATGACTAAATATTGTGTGTGTGTGTGTGTGTGTGTGTGTGTGTGTGCGTGTGCTTGTTTGCGTGCGTTGGCATGTCATTGTGAAGAGAGGTTTTCAGCATATTGAGGACTTTAGCCTACTTTTCTGACCATCCGGTGAGATCTTATCAGTTGCAGAATGCTTTTCGGGTGGAACAAGTTGGCAAACGTTAATATTTTCGTTCTATAAGAGGAACTTGTCTTCGCAAATGCCAGTTTGGCTTTGCGGCTCCGCTTTGCTTCTGGCTAATGCCGTTAATCCCGATTTGTCAGACAACGGGATGTGGTTGCATTTGCAGGTCCCACTGCTGAATCAATTTGCCCTGTACAAGAGCTAGAATTGAATGTTTGACATGAGGGTACAGGTGGCCCTGGGATGCAGCTGCAGCTGCTGCTGCTGATGGGACAGTTTTGCTGCATCCGTAGTGCACCATGTGTTCAACCTGATTCCGTCTGCAGTCCGGTGGTGCTGAAGTTTGAGAAACCAGTCTTGCTTTAGTTTTGCTACAGGCCACTGAAAGATTGTTGGCTGATTTGAGCTGTTGTAATAAACAATAATCATCTAGGTTTTATATGACCACACAATGAATGACAAAGGTTATTCTTATGTTGATGTCGGCTTATTGCTGCGAATTGCTGTATGACATGGGAGTGTGGAAGAAGTATTGATCTGGCGGCAATTTTTTGTGCTCAATGTTCTGTGGCCAGTGGCTTCTTCTGGTGTGGCTTTGGTAGAGAACCGTTATTGAGTCGACATCCCTGACCATTCGTATCCAAGTGCCTGCAGCTGTTATGTAACACATGAACTGCAACTGTTAACGTATAGATTGACTGTGTTTTGAAGAACACAGAGGCCAGAGTTTGTAGTCAGGTCTTCAGGTGTTTCCCATTAAAATAATCCAGTAAGGCTGCACTCTGTACAGTCATAACATAGACATATAGATGAATTGTTGATATATTATTAGCTCATGAAATTGTAATTTCAGTTTTGTGGCTTTTAGTTTGTGTCTGTTAGCTTCGAAGCCATATAGTGTCCTGGACATGTTTAAATTTACTCTCAACATCTAAAAATGTCAGTCTCTTCCTGAGTCCAAACATACTACATGAACAGCAGTACATCGAGTCAGTAGGATGGTTGAATATACAGTGTTTATGAAATAGTAGGCAGCTAATATGTGTGGATGGTGTACTGTTTCTGCAGAGATTCTGAAGTGTAGACACTTTGCTCTCCTGTAAGTCCCGTAAGTAGCTGAGGAGCCATCAGATTAAAGAAATTGAGAACTGTGGGGTTGGTGGATCTTTTCAAGCGCTATAGATACCAGGAACGTTGTTACTTGTGTTTAAATTATACTTAACAATACCCGAGTAAATCCTTTTTTGTAATTGCTAATAGTATGTTCCAAGTCAACTAGAATACATGCCAAATGAGAGAGCCAACATGGTGGGTGTTGTATATCTATGAATATAGACCTGCATACTTGAAGAACGCAATTCATCAATGGTTGAGAACTGTTTAGTACGTTAATTCAGTCTATATTCTGACAGAGATTCTTTCTTGTGAGAAAATGGACCAAAAATATTGATGACTCAACTTGCACTCATGGTAGTCTCTACATTTTTGTCCAGGAAGAATGTCCCTGACCACCTGGTTCTGCCTAGCAACAGCTGTTAGAAGATCACGGTTCATAGATGTAATGGAAACTTAAAGGTTTTAGCTATTCAAAACTTGTCAGACAATCAACCCCTTAATATGTCTTGCTCCAGCTTCCTATTTCAATTAGAAAATACATTGTCACTTGAAAATATACTGCAATCATCAAGTCATTCCACGGGGTCTTAAAGTGATGGTTCACTCAAAAATGACAATTCTGTCGTTATTTACACAAAAAAGTTATTTTGGAAAATCTCTCAGTGGGTCCGTAAAATGGAAGTTACCAAAATGGTTTGGTTACGAACATGCTTCAAAATATCTTCTTTTGTGTTCCTCAAAAGAAAAAAAGTTGTTTGGAATGACATGAGAATTTTCATTTTTGCCTAAACAATGCTGAATTATGGTCAGATTTCTCAGTTAACCCAACAATATGCAACCAGTGCTAACAATGTTTATATGACGTGATGACTGTAAATACATGCAACAGAAGTTCAACAGAAGAGACAGCACACACTGTTCATTTGCAGATAGAACGTTCTGTCGGCAATTAAACTATTGGCACCACTTCTTAAAATAAATCCTTGTGTAGCCCGTGGTTAGATGAGCGGGTTTGCTTCTGACTGGTTAACGGAGGGTATTCCTGCTTGTTCTGCCGCCGTTGGCATGGCTGCTGAGAGAATGCTGCACAAAAAACGCCGCTTCCCAGTGCTGCCGCTGCAGAGGAGAGCCCATATGTCATGAGAGAGACTCACACAGAGAAAGAGGAGCTTGGGGGAGGGGTAGGGGTAGATGGGAAGGGGGGTTGGTTTGGGGATGAAGAAGAGAGAGAGAGTTCTCAGAGCTAAAGCGGGACCCCCATGGGAAACAGTAAAAAGGACGCTCTAGTTTAATTTACCCCCTCCCTCACCTTCCCAAATCAAAACGGATGTACGTGCCTGTATTTTTGCCTTCCCTGTTTCTTTGTGATGCTTCAGCCATCGCACATAGCATCCTCGCTGCTTAAGTCAGGTGAAAGTAGGCAGAGGAAGATTACGGGAGATCACTGGCTGAGACAGATTGGACTGTGGTAGTGGTAGTGAAAAACAATAATGTTTCAACAATAACTGCTTTATGAGACTCATGCAGTTACTGTGTATTTCTTTCCGCTAATTCGTTCTGTTCATATCCCCACTACTCTACTTATAGCCTCCTCTTCTCCTTCCCTCACTCTGTCAGGGTGTCCCAAAGGAGGCTCTTTAATGAAGCGGTGAAGTACCTGAATCATGCACACTGTCACAGGCAGAAACGGAGCCCTCTCGCTGGGTCAGGGTTAGATGGCTTGTATGGGCAGGCTCCATGCAGAGTGGTGTTTGAGCCCCAGGCCTCCACTGCACTTCCAGCATGAACATGGAGATAATCAAGCTATATATACACATTACCTCAGGGCCAGTGATTGTCCGTTACTGCAGAGGTACTGGTGCAAGGCGGATATGAAGCGCTGCCGGCAGAACCACATAAAGTATGGTCATTTTGCTGCAGTGCACGTAGGGTTCATTTCAGTCCAGGAAGTGCTTCTGCATATACGGGATGCCATTGCTCCTCTTTGCCAGAATGTAATGTAGAAAAACTCAGTTTTAGCACTAGAACCAATATAACTGTTAACAGCACTAAACAGAAGTGTGAAAGTAATGTCTACTGTTGTTGGAACAAACAGATAGTGCTGCACTAAACTCATTCTCAATGTGTCTGTACCAGACTTGTTGAGATGCTCAAACAGAGATGTTTTTTGAAACAATCAACCTATGAATGAGTTGTTTCAAATACTATGGAATTTACTATGGAATTTAGAATATGCAAATTATGCAAATAGTTTTGAAATATTTACATATCATATGCGATTATTCTCCAATTTAAAGGCATAGTTAACCCAAAAATGAATATTCTGTCATCATTTGCTCACCATCATGTCGTTCCAAACCTGTATATGACTGACTTTCTTATGCAGAACACAAAAAAAAGATGAATGTTTTTAACTGTTTTTGTCCATACAATAATAATCAGTGGGGTCCAAAAGAACATTAGTTTTCATTGACTTTCAGTGTATGGACAAAAAAAGCATTAACATTTTTTTTTTTTTTTAAATATCTTCTTTTGTGTTGCTTAAAAAAAAGCCATACGCGATTTATTAAATGTCGCATGTGTGCGTAATAATTTCTGAGTGATCTATCACTTTAAATACAGTGGCCTGTAATATCAAAATGGACCTATATTATCTAATTGGTTTCTTTGATTAATGGAGTGAGGTTATTGTTTAAAATAATATAGTTAGGAGGGCAAAATTAAATTACGCTCTAAGAAACAACATCTTCATCAGCAGCACAAAGAATGTTTTGTTTTTAGCCTGAAAAGCCTGTTTGAAATGTCAGCTTTTGACTGTCTTACTGGGCTGACTTTGTGAACAATTTGTCAGTGTGTTTCTGTCTGAGGGGGTTGCCGTCTCCCAAACATATTCCAGCCTTCAGTTGGCTCTCATTTAGTAAGTGCTGGATAGCAGTGGTTGGTTGTCATGGCTGCGCCCCCTTCCCACAAGCCTTTTCTCACAATGGCCATGCTTTCCATCTTAGAGATCAGAGGCAGACAACAACAATCCTCGTAGCCCCTCTTTCCCACCCTTGATTTATGTAGATTACATTCAGTCTCCACTATTAACACTGGAAGATGTACACAGAGGAATCTATGGAGGAATATGCAACCTTTGCGTCATACGCAATAAATTAACCGTTCAGAAAAATGTTGAAGGAATGTGCGCAGGAATGATTGGTAGAGCAGAGCTGATTCCACTGATGGGCTCTTATGTGGGATTAGATGTATTTCTCATTTAAGGCTGGAATGAACTCCCAGCATTTTGTTCCTTGTTGACTAACAATTATATAAATATATTTTATATTTAGTGGTTTATTGCTTATTCTTGTCACTCTTCATCTTCACTCTGTATCCTCCCTCTTGGGCCTTAGGAACATTTCAAAGAGATTCCATGTTTTCCCTGCAAGTGTTTTGTTGCCAAACACGGTGAGAAATAATAAAATTAGGTGTGCTAGTAGTGTTGTTGTAAAATATTTTGTTAAATGGGTTGTGAGTGTACTGTGCATACGGAGACCAAAAACTAACGGTAAGTTTTTAAGTAACT